TGTAATTTCTTTTCCCTTTCAACGTACTGATTTATATATATATATACGTATATTAATAAAAATCTGTCTGAAACCTTTCATTATTTTGAAATAAAATAATTATTAACTAAATAGAGTTAATCTATTTATTGAAATGACCCGGAGACCTAAAAAGTTATACACATTATTCTAACAAATTTTATACTATGTTGTATTTCGTGTTACAATTATCGGTGAATGTTACAAGTAAATTACTCCCATATCTTGATCTCATATTTTTTCCAAACACGCCAAAAGAAGTATAACTGCAAAAACATTCAGGCCCACCGACGTTGTAATGCCTTTTAATTTTTTCCATCAATGAATATATTTGTAAAAGGTCGTCGAAATTATGCGAAGATAACGCAAATTCTGTTCAAGAAGTTCGCTGTGTACGTATGTTCGTACATGCGATATGCCAAATTTATACCATGCTGTCCATAATAGGGTAAAAATTACCGTCTCATCATTATGGACGTACGAATGTTTTTGCCGCGTGCATTGTTTCGGCGTACACGTCCATATGTCTTGGGAAGCGGGGCGAGTAAAAAGTTGTGTTGCCATAAGTGTCTCGTCTAAAGACACCTTGTCGGCTGAACGTCGCGACTCGCGGAGATAACAGCAGGTGCCTATGCTCGGCGGTTTCGTAATTTAACCTTTTATTGTTGCTACCAACATTACCATATTAAAAAGAAGCAGCATTACAAGTGAAGGCACATGTCTTTTTTCCTATTTTATATAGATTTGTAATTTGTATTTTCTTTCAAAATTGATGAAATGAAAACATAAATATGATTTTTGAAACGTATGGGAAGATTTAAGCATGTTTTAGGGGATTATAAATATAAAAAAAATATTTTTTTAAAGAACATAGACTTTTATCTATATCAGAGTCAGGAATGATAATTACCTGTAGATGATATAAGCAAAAGTCCCGTGACGCAATCGAAACTGTGGAAGCAATGAAGACATTTATTATAAGCACCTGCGGCAACAGAGCCATTTGATTCATATTGAACGTCCTATTCCATTACGATGGCCTTAATGTAAGCGCACCCACTCTAAATCTCCCTTATCTCTTGTTTAACCAAGGCTGGTGGGAAGAGTTTGAGTCTAGGTCATATGTCATTATTAGTCTAGACGCGATTCAGGTCAGCACCAAGATTAAGCACTATTCACATAGAGATATCCGCGTACTGATAAAAGAGGTACTACGTGATACTGGGAAATCAGAGAGTTGTAAAGATTAACGTCTAATGCACCGTCAGATAATGTTATACACTTAATTAATTAACTTACCATCGCACAATTTTTCACAACAAACATATTACAACCTTAACCGTGAATAGTGTATTGTAGCTTATGTAATCTTATACAAATATCATATGCATGATTTAAAATGGTACTAAGTAGTTGTGAACTGGAAAAGGAAAATTATGCTTTCATTTTTATTATATTAACAATGTATAACAAACTTTTTAAAGGCGAGCCTAGGCTGACAGATATTTTTCTTACAACAACACTGATTTTAAATCAAAAATCATAGCAAGGCAACGTTCCTAGGTATAGGTGTATACATAATTTGCGCAAATATTATTATATAGTATTTGTGCAAATTATGTACATTACATACACAAAAACTTTGCACTATCATGTTGCTCCGTCCCTTGGAGTTCATTTGTTTTAGCGTTTACGTGTAGACTCAGAGGCACAAGAGTCCTTGCAGATAGAAGGAAATGTTTATTAAAAAATATCACTGCAACATGGTATGTCAGAATCTTCTGAACCGATTCTGAAATTTTTTACTCAAATGGAAGACATCGTTTTTCCAGAGTATAAGTTGGCTCGAGATCATGCAACCAATAAGGATCTAAGGACATTATTGATATAGCGAAAATAATAAAATCTTAATAATTGTGATACACAAAATTTGAAATAACATATATTTGCTTACTCGTGTGAAGGCGGGTGAGCAAGCTAGTGTTACATAATAAGAAGCTAATCATTTGTTCAGCTGTCTATATTAAATAGACAGAGTATTGTTTAATCTATCATTTCAATGAATGCGATATCGTCATAGTATGCTTGTTATGCAATATGAATTACATGAATAGGTTATTACCATGGTGATATTTTTAATAGATTAAATTGAATCACACAAAATATATTCAATTATTATAATGTTCAAGAAATGATTACGTGTTATTTTAACTTGTTTCTTATTTTTTCTCTCTTTTAACTCGGGGACTGTTAAGCATGAAATCAATTTAAAGCCAATATTGAAAGAGTGAATAAAAATTGTTTGTTTGAATAATGGTTAATCTCGCCTGGCAGCCATAATAAACAAATAGATCGTCTATGACCCAGTAAAGCCGGAACTCAACGTGCCCAAAGTACAGCCGCGTTCGGGAACAGTTCTCACTACTGTCAACGATTAATACAGAAAATGTCCGCGGTCCTCACCGATACAACATGGTGACAACTTATATTTTTATATGAGTAGATGGCAAGCGAGCTGGCGGTTCACCTGAAGTGAGAACCGCCGCCCGTGGACATTTGCAACACCCTTAGGGTTGCCACCTTTTAATGCAGTGGGGCCTGGCTACCTAACTCACCAGACGAAATACAGAAGTATAATACTTCTACTTCACGCCAATCTTCTGTGAGGTCGTGGTACTTACCCGGACGGACCTGACCATTCCTGGCCCTACCGTTAAGTAACAATTCTTCCCTCAGTGGAACGCACGCATAACCATATGTGCGGCGTATTCAACACGGTGGGTCGTATCAAGCCCGTGGAAGCTGATTGTCCCACTAGAGTTCTGGGTTAAATTAATTAAATACCAATATACATCTGTAGAGGTGTCCTCTGTACAGAGGAGGCCTTTGCCCACCAGTGGGACATGTATATACTGTTACTTTACTTAATACATATGTAAAGCAAGTTGAAATGGAAAAGGGAAAATTTTATTTATCAGACGGTTGCCAGGCAACCTTCAAATTAGTAGCGTGTTGTCTGCCATTACTCGATAAAGTATAACAATTACTGAACGCACGTTTGGTGGCTTGAAGAATTTGCGATACGGAAAGTTTTACGTTACTTGCTAGGTAGTTAATTGATTATATAAACAATAATATAAATTGAAATTATGTGCTTGCATCAAAATATTATTATATGTGTTGACCAAAATAAAAATGTATAAAACACGGATGTACAAAAAAAATATTGAAATTCTACTCATGGGCCATGGCGTCTAGGCTAGCAGGTAAGGCTGTTTTTTTTTGTATACGTCCTACTTTTTAATGTTGAACGCCAGTGTAAACATTTCGTCCTGGCGCCGGGCGTTTTATCCGGTCTTCCGTAGAAACAAATAAAACAATGAGATAGAGCAGGGCCCCTCCGCCCGGCGCCTACCTTATCGCCGGCACGTGGACTTCTTTCTCTCCGTCCCACGGCTATTTATTCCTAGAAAATTCTCACTTCACAAACACGGGGCTGTTTCTGAACTGAGGAATGTTGTAATACGTTTAGTAATAATTGTCGTTTAAAAAGGCATCATTGCGATTTTTTTTGAAAATGCTGGTTGTGAAAAAGTCGTATTTAACGGCGCTGATTGATCGATTGTTTGCGTAAACGTGTAGGCCTGTCGATCATTCCTATTTTGGTGCAAGTCCATTATAGCGTCCTTTGCCTTGTAGAGAAGAAGCGGCTTAAATCGCAGCGATTTTTTTTTAAAAACGGACTTAATGACATTGCCTAAGTGTCACCATACTTAATTCGTTTGACCGCGTAGCCTACTCGTGGAATAACCTCGCTACTAAGTCGAGAACCCTGTAATCCATTACTAGCATGTAAACGGTGTGACGCAATAATTGTCGGTGTACCTATGTTTTGTAATTTTCTTATACTGGCACCTTTATTTTCGAACTATCTGCCGTAGGACTAAGATAGGAAAGGACAAATTTGTTATCATACTTATCTCCAACCCAATTATCTGGTAACATTCGAAATATGTCGTTCAGATGGACCTTTAGAACTCACAATAATCAAAACAGTCATTTTATAGTGTTGGCAAATATTAGGTAATATATATCGTAAGACGTTTACTTTTCTATAACTGCATTATTAAAGGAAAACCTTGAATTGAATTATAATCTGAGTTTGTAAATTACGTGTACCGGTGGGCAAGAGATAAAACTCTGAAGTTAAGACTGAAATTATGTAACAGATGTACACTTAGTTGATAGCAACATTACTGCTCGGCCGGGCCAAGAGAGTGATCTAATTTTAATGCGGCGTTATTAATTTCTCTCGGTTGTAAGATAATTTTGTGAACGATTTTTATTTTTCCTAAACGTTATGTTAAAGAACTTACATTAAATAATATATAATAAAAGTTAAAGTGTATGTGTCTTTGTGAATTTTATATGGGTTTGTTTTTGTATTCCTAATTATCCAAAAAATCATTACGCAAAGTGATAACTCCTATAGGATGTAGTTTGGAGTATTTTTAATGTTGTAAATATTTTTGGCAGTAAACTTGTTTATTAATAAGTAATAAATTATTTAAATTTCAATTTTGGACAGTCAGTGCTTTGAAGTAATTAAATTTATTTGATACGAGTAAAAGAAAGAATGAAGTTAACAGTGACAGTGAATCTTTGGTTCTTTAATCGGAAAGGATTTTAGAAAGCTTCTAAATTTACATGTATTTATTTCATTTAGGTAAATATGAGTCCTATAGTAATGTAGTGCTTAATTTATGTTTTTTCTTTGCAGGTCCACTACCATGAGACTGCAGCAAGGCCGAGGAAGAATAATATACTCCTTATCAATATCTAATTACAAACATAAAATTTCGTAACGTGTCAGAACGTCCCGGTGTTACCTCTTCCCTCGGTAGTATGTCTAAATAAGTAATGTGCATGAACTAAGCCCTTGGTGGTGTGAGATGTGTTCTGATTATCGGGTACTCAGGAAGATGGATGTGCGTTGTTCCGTATTCAAACTTTTACTCTTCCTAATGCTGGTGGTGAGGTGTGGCGCGAAACATATAATAACGCGTCACGTGCATAGGGTAAACCACTTGGACGATGACGAAATCCAAGACAGCATAAGAAAAACAATCCATACGGGTAAGTCAATTTTTTTTAAGATCAAAAAAGTGTAATTTTTTTTCTCTTAATATAAAGTTTTAACAACAATATAAGCCTTACATTGAAATTGTACAAGATGAAAGAGAATATTTAGATGTTAATATGGTGCGATAAGAAGAACTGGCGTAAATAGAAATAATAAACGTTAAAAAACAGCCTGACGCTAACCCACGTTATGAAACATATCTCATTATGGTCGACACCGGCCGCTTCCATTCCGAGAAGTTGAATTGATCACTTTGAGCGTGAACAATTCGAAAAGGCAGTTGGTTTAAAAATTTACAAAACTAACGGGCAGCGTTGTTTTTGGATGTCGGGAGTTTTGAGGGATCCGATAATTGGTTTCGAGTCGCGCGTGACGTTCCAGTATTGCCTTTGATGGATAATTTTAGTCGGCCGCTTGAAGATTTAGGATGACAGGGTCGGCCTCGGTGCGTTTTGCTTTTAATGGTATGCGTGTCTAAATCCATTATGAATAGAATAAATCAATCAAAGCCAATGGACAAACAGCTATCGGAATCTCTATTAAGTTTTATTACAATCACTGTTACTTTTTAATGCTTCAAAGATTACTTAATAAATTGAAAGCTGTTACGTCCAATTAAGATTGTCGCGTCTCATTATTTCTTTTTCATTTGCATAAATTTAAAAAGTAAAATAAAAATAGTGTTATATCGGATAGTAAGAATATTCAATAAGGCGATATTGTTATTTATAAAATGAGTATAAGCTTGTGATTCGTGTAGAAAAAGTAAATCCATTCAGCGCGTTCATTTATCAGCTCTGGGTAACTAGTGAATTCATACATTGGCATTAAATTAGTTTTTGTTGGAGGTGAGAGTGGCTGTCAATAAAAAAAAAACGTAACTTCTATCAGTCCCTTTGGTTTGCGAGTGAACTGAAAGGAATGAAGATTACGATCTGACAGTGGTTAAGGCACGGAGCGGTCGCGGAATCTGAGGGCTTCTTTTATTTTTCTTCCGCGGTATTTACTTTACATGTACATGGTACAGTAAACTAATGGAAATTCTCATCTGATATACGTCGACCTGTGGGATCGTCATATTTGTAACTAAAAATAGACAGGACTCCATGGAGTGTGCCCAGTTGAAAACACATGGGATTTAAGCACAGATTGAAATAACCGTAAAACGGCAATAAGTGGTATCGCTACCACTAACGTCCGTTGAAGGACGCACATCACTCCATCGAGATTTGGCCATTGAACTCCCACAGACAACAATCGCAACAGATGCGAGTGCCACAAGCTTTTTTGTCTGTCATTCAAACAGATAACACGAAATAGTTTCAATAGGTCAATTTAAAAAAGAGGAAATCAAATACTCAGTCCGTTGTGTCACTTTTATCGTAATCTCACTTACTTTTACTCTAACTTATCACCGAAAAGAGTAAAGTGTAACGATCCTAGTCGCTTATCTGATAAACTCAATATTTGCTTCCATAATCTTATCTGTATTATGGAGAAGAGGTGCGAATCGTGGTGCGTGACGTGTGGTGTGACGCAAAAACGTCATCCGTCAGGCGAGGAGAGTATAGATTCTGGCTTAATGTCCTAACGCCAAATTCAAATAATCGCTCTGGCGGCGAACCCGTTATCAGGCATCGGATTAATCTATTAGAACAGCTGAGTCCTTGGGCATCTAAGCATCTTCTGGTGTACCAATTTAATAATCGTATATACGCGTTTAGAAACAATTCAAATGTATAAATGATGATATGAATGAATCCAATTAATTGCGCAAAATTAAACATTGTACTAATAATAATGCGTCATGCGTATTTCTGGACCACACTATTATAACGTTTGTTCTTGTCACGCCATACATAATTCCTCCGTTTGCCTACTTCACGTAAAGATGATGTAACAATCTCATTATCGCTTTACACGAAATAAGTCCTGTCACCAAGTGATAGTGTGCGATAATAAGAAATTGGCTTTCTGTGCTACAAAGGGAAATTAGAAATATTGCAAGTTTTCTAATGTATGAACACTTGTTTCCATAAACATTTCTTGTTATTAACGCGAATAGTAGACACGTCCATGAACATGGTATTTGTACTACTATTGGAAACGTAATTAATCGTAAATAATCATCAAAACTAAATTAAACGCAATAAAATAATATGAGTAGGGTTAGAAGGGACGGACTTAATGCCAAGCGATATTCCCTACCATTCAATCCAAGTGAAACGTGTGTTAGTTGCAATTATTCAAAAGTAAAATACAGATTTAAGTAAGTAAAAAAAATAAAATTATTTATAAGGAATAATTTAACCTAAAAATATATATTCAGATCTTGAGTCTACATGTACATTATAAAGAGGGGAGGCATTACAGTTTTTAACTTTTCCTCTCGAAATTTAATGGGAGTGTATTCATGGCAAGAGTGAAGAGGCTGATACGAGCTAGTGCGTTTACTGTCCAAGATCACCGTCAGGTGATATAGTTGTTAGTAGGAGAGATAAGAAAGCTCGGCCGGTTTTTGGGTAAAAACATTACCAGTGTAGAATGGTTAAGGTTTATTTATTTCTCATCCACACAATATAAATCCATGTAATTTTTAAGAGCTAAATCTCTTTTTGTATAAGCGTATCATGTAAATACCGTAAAAAGCCTTTTTTGATATTAATAAGTACTATAAATGAAAAGTGTGTTTATCGACCTCAAAAGCAAAATTGAGACATATAAAAGCACTTTCTAGTTTTTATCTAAGAAAAATAGTCCTTAAATAAGTAAGCCTAAATAAAATCAGATAAGATAGTTAGTAACCGTCGTCTTTTCAATTAAAATTTTAATTAGCACAAGAACAATCATTATAAAAGGACATTTCCTAAAAATGAAACCTAGTGAAGTTTTCCTCCATTGATAAAAATGGTGGTTCATTGTGCCGGGATTCATACTGTCCTTGCTCAAGTATATTCAATTAATCAATATTATGACAATTTTACATTACAAAGCCATTTTATATTATTAATTATACGTAAAGACCTTTGACTATAGTAATAAAGTAAAGTAACAGCCTATAAATTATATGTCCCACTGCAATGGCCTCCTCTGTAACCACCGATTATAAGGGCATAGTCCGCTACGCTATCTTACTGTGGATTGGCAGACCTAACATATCACTCATATGTATTTATTAATTCTTCCTTCGACATGCAGGATACCTCACTATGCTTTTCTCAAACGCTGAACAGGTAGTACATTGGCACTCAAAACTGTAATCAACAACTTAATTGGTACCCGCGGATGCCCGGATTCGATACTAAATTTGTCGAGTATCTAGTACAATCAAGCAATCCAGTATCACATCAATATATTTTTTATGTAAGAACATGGCAAGCGATCTGGCGGTTCATCTGAATTTTAAGCTATAACCGCTGCACATGGACATTTGTGGCACCCGTAGGGTTACAGATGCGTTGCCACCTTTTAATGAAGTCGGCCCTGGTTACCTCACTCACCCGACGAAACGAAAAAGTAATACTATTTCGTTTGACGGGACTTCCCCGGACGGCCCTGCCCATTCGTGCAACACCTAAGACTATTGCGTGGGTCTAACAAAGTTGAGTATGAGTTAGCGCCGGTCCTTTGAACTACAACGAGCAATAGTAATGGTTAATGTTATATCTGTAAGGACGTCCATCCTAAACATTTTCCTAAGCACGATAATCATGACTTACGAAACCTTTTGGTTTCCACATCGTTATAACAACTAAACATACCTGTTATTAAATTTTGTTTATTTTATTTCAACGATAATGGATTTCGAAATTATGATGCAATAAACAAAGAAAGGATCATCACAAAGGACGTAAATACGTGTAATGGAATTATGAATGTTCTGTAAAGACTGGTTTTGATGCTGCGTCTGATAGTAAGGCATAAATTAATTCAATGAAATTACCCACTTAAATAAACAACGGTCGGTCATCAATCTTAATATGATAGTGGATATAAAAGGGAAACAATTCTGTGCCGTTTAGTAAAAATTAAATTTATTGAGATAGAAAATTATAACATTGCATTAAAATTTCGTGGTTTTTTTTATAATAAAATGCTTTTATAATAAAAAGCTGATTTTAAAAATTCCGACGTAAATTTTTAAAAATTCGATATGAGAAAAAATGGTTCTTCAATGAGAACATGTAAACCTAATTTTATTATTTGGAATTATAGTACTATAGTTCTTTAAAAAAAGGGCTTCGTGTTAAAAAAACAATTAAAATTCTACGAAGTATGATGTATTCTTTATTGAAAATGTTAGGCTATATTTGGATTTCCATTTGGCCGCGCACGAGGCCTTAAGTGTTCGTTCGGATAAACGTCCTCCCACGCACAGCAGAAGGCTGGTGCTCCCATGGGCTCGACGCTCGCTTGGAGGCGGTGCGTCGGGTAATAGACAATAATTGCCGCCAAGCCCCTGTCCCGGGCGTCGCACATGAATGTATCTCAAAACCCACGCTATAGCGTTCCAAAGCATTTTACTGTAAACATTTTTACAGAGTAGTGCTCCATTAGTGGACACCATTATTCCTAAAAGAGTCTAGTTTTCTTAACTTATAATTGTAATAAATCTAACAGCTTTTTATTATTGTATCAAAATGATAAAACCAATCAGAATTATAGTAACTTTAAGATCGAAAATTAAGGAATGATCAACTCATTGTATTCAAACATGAAAATTAGTACGAATAACTTACTTATAACATTATTTGGATTGCATGTCTTTCGTATCTTGGAGCAGCGTTTATGAAATGTGTGCGAGCCAGTTAGGAGCCGGTTCGGCGCTCTTTGCTTCTATAGCAATAAATTATGTGTGTGTTTAAGACTAATAAGGCATGAGAAAAGTGTGGACTTAAAGAGAAACCTGTGTGGCCCCGCTAGTTACGGGTATCGAGTGTCTAGTCACCGGGATGCTGACTGCGCACACCTATTTCATAAGAAATCGCTCATACGATGACCGATAATTAAGTCAGCCGTTGCTGATAATCGCAATGTTGCTAAGCGCCTTTAAATTCAGAAAGCGCTTCCGTATTCATTACAAATACGGTACACCAATATGACAGCTTAGTTTTTTGCTCATTCTTTCAAACACGTCGATATATTACATAGGTTAATTCGTAGGCAGAGGTGAAATACGTCGGAAGTAACAATAGGTTTTTATATGACGAGGTAGCACTATCTTTATTCAAATGGAAGTTAACCCAGGAAATGAGGTGTACAAAATACGAGTATGACTAACCGAAGGTGGATATCACGGGCTTATTCTATAAATTAAACATGACTAGTTTTGTTTGATCAATTCTATGATACATGTCATAATCTTAGCATATTACATTAGCCTTTTAATGTGTTATATCTGTAATAGAAGTTATGTGGTTTCGTTTCGAAAACTTCCATTTTATTACTCTAACGTTCACATGGGTCTTTTTTTAATTCCTCAAAATGATTGAGAAACATTTTATATAAAAGTAAATTTTATATATTTCATTTTTGACGTTTTGGATTCCCGGGCATCCCGGGGCACATAAAGAGAAATAAAGAGGGAGAGACTACTACATAATGCGACAAATAGTTTCATTTAAAAAGTAATGTTTTATTGTGGAAACTAAAACTTATAAAAAAAATTAGCGATAAAATAGCTATGTGACACAGACGCCTGGCGCCATCTATAGGGCACAGGGCGTGACATTGAACCACGATTAACGCTGCGTTCACACCGAAACATTCGAACTCATTAATTAATTCCGCTCGACATCTTAACGTCGCGTTGTCGTTGATAAACGTAATTAGTTCAATGTATAAAAGTTTACATTTCCTGCATTATATTTTGTCGTGAATGCAATAAATTTAAATTTTATAAAATGAAAATTTTGATTCTCAGATTTCGTGGTTACAATAATAAAAAGAGGTATTCAAACAAAGTCAGATCGATTACAATTAAACAGTCTCTCTCATCTATGTGTTGTGTCTATTAAATAAGTTTTCTTTACGGGTTTTATGTACGAATGCATCTAATGAGCAAGGAAGGAAACATCCTTTTGATCTTACATTACTTTTGAAATTCTATTCAAATTCACTTACACTTCAGAGATAAAGTAGTTTCGCTAAATAATATAGTAAAATACTTGCTTTTCTAACCGCGTATGTTTACGATGCACTACAGATCCTCCGTAGACCCAATATACCCCTTAAAGTATTTTAAATATATTGTACCCAAAAGAAGTTTTATGGTTTCCGCAAAAAAAATTATTAAACCAAAAATTTCGATGCTGGGTGTCGCATGTTCGAATCCCGCCCAGGTTTTTCTACTCTTATACCGCCAGATGATTGTTCATACAGTTCATACAATTTTTTGTGATTTTGTTAGTGTAATGGGTTTATTTGTGTGATTGTGTTAAAAATAAACTACTCGATTTGGTATATAATGTACTGTACTGTACTCAAAAGGATACATGGGATATTATTTTCTATAATTGGTGTTTGATTTTGTAAAGTCGGATGTTATAGTTTTGGTCGATTAAAATAAAAAATGCATTTTAGTCAATATAAGTAAATGTTGGTACCACCAACTGACAGTAGTTACTGCGATTTTGGCAAGTTTATCTATATCGTGTGGTACTCGAAAAGTTTAGCCTAAATATAAGTTACGATTTTAAATCTCAACTTACAAGTATGTACATCAGAAGCCTGGGTCTATATGGCTGACTTCCCTCATATCCAAAATTTGGTACACATAAAATCTGCCAATCTATTCCTGTTCAATTCTTGTAGCAATTTGTTTATTTAGAAAACAATTCAAATAAAAACTAAAACTCGATTTTTTTTTGCAAGAACAATACAGTCATAATTATAATTGTAATTGCGATAAGAAAAACACAGACGAATGGCCGCGGCGTCGTATTACCGGTATGGTCCGACAACTTGCATCATAGACAACCACGCGCCGAAACTACAAAAAATTATTCATATACTGCTTCGTCAGTACGTGTTAGGTCAAAGAGGCCTTTGATAATTTCCGTTTTTCGTGGAAGGCAAATGCATGTGAACGATAGTTCTAAACTGTTTTATCAGCTAAAAACTAGTTTGTGCTACACCTTACAAATTACGTTCACCTGAATTTCTAAATTGTAATTAGGCTAATTATTAACGTCAATTCGCATTCATTACTTACTGTCTATCTTATACACCTATGTTAACTGTTTAACAAGAGAATACCAATATGATATAAACACTTCTCACGTCTTCCTCTGATCGGATTAGTCCTAACGTTCTATTTTTTTCTACTACCGTTCCTCGAACTTACGATCTCTTACTATCTTACCTTCCTCTTATTTATTACCATTCATCAAACTTAATACGTGTTACCCCTCATAGGCGTAGAAAATATACACCAGCTTTATGTGCCAAAGCAAACAGTTTTTCATTTCTCAAAGCTCAACAAGGCCATGTACAATTTATAATAGCATTTTGTTTTCCATCTAATAGTAATACACAATTAATCGCACGAAGTATGTTTCACGTATTAGCAACTCTTCAACCCGATATCCTTGAGCACAAGTAATGAATTGAAAAACGCTGAAATACGATAAACATATGTGAATACGCTCAATGCTACGATATAATTGACTGACGTGACTCGTGCCTTTCCCATCAGGTTTATACTCGCACAAGCATCTGGACACGTCACAAGTGCAAGTGGCTGTCCCGCTGCGGGTGGCGCATGATGGCACGCTGGTCTCCCGTTCGGTGGACCACTCGCACGAACACGGCCACGCGCGGGCGCGTCGCGATCTCCACCAGCGCGAACACCAGCTCCCACACATGCTGCACTACAACCTGACCGTCGACGGCCGAGAGCTCAGGCTTGACCTAAGGTAAGGCGATCATGTAATGGCCAGTTTCCTAATCTTCATGCTCAACCGACCTGTTGAGGCGCGATCAGACTTGATCTTGCATTGTATTTTGCGTGGAATAGCCAGTAGTAAGTCCCAACGACCACTACGACCAGAAGATCTATTGTAGTCTTCACTTCGAAAACATTACAACTTTTGGCGTTTCCTTTGGCAAGTGAGGCGTGCTTTCTATGGAACGTATCAACGCATTTGTCAACGCCTCCCCACTATTTTGGTGTTGCAGATCTATGGGCAGTGGTAATAACTAATAGCCTCTGTTGAACAGCTTTCTGCCCATCCACCTTCTCTTTAAAAAAATAACAACCCAAGTAAAATTTTTGATCTCACAGAATCCTATATACTAGCAGTATTAATAACCGTAATTTCGCATTTGTAATAGCTACTCTGAACTAAACGAAAACATTTTCTCCTGGTTTACTTGTTCTCTATCGGAATATTTATAATTTCGAACTATTAGTTTTCTATTGAACTGAATTATTTATTGGAGCATCGGCTTGGAGCGACAGCAATAACAGAATAAAGAGTATAAAATCGTTATAAAAACATGGTGCATTACGTTTTTTATTATTATTATTATTCACAATTTCATGTGTTGTCATGAACTTCTGAGCTATGGTCCAAATTTCTAGGGAAGTTAGTTTAAGTTAGGAAATTCCACCCGGACTGACAAACAAGAAAGCGAGTTAATAAACACATATTAATAAAACAATAGATATCTAAAAATACGTATAGTTCATGATAATATTGTAATCTTACGACTGGGAAGGCTATTTATCAGTTTATATGTTTAAAGTTATAAAGTATTATCATCTTTTCTTAATTAACTAGAATACTATTACAAGCGGCCAATGAATAGTTTTTATCATACAATACTTTGTTCTAATACACGTTTACTTGCCGGTTTAATTTATCTCTCGTGATAATATTCTGTTGTTAACACAAGATATTTAATATCACTACTTTTTAACTTAGTATGTGTAATTTGTTGTTGAATAAAAAATTCTCCGTAAATTTCTAAGCAGGACGATTAAACTAAAAAAAAAAAAACACCTCATCTTTGGAATATTTAATTCAGGGTTAATTAACTGTCAGTGTTACTTAATTTTACAAAGATATTTAGTATATCCTTTGCAGTTAAAACATATTGTAACTATTTTATAGAATAATATTATGCAACTATTTATTACTGCAGTTATTGTTGCTAATCTGGCACACTTCATTTTGCGACTATCAAATCGACCTTCTCGTATATTTGAACTTGTCTCTACTATCTCATTACGAGCCACGCAGCTCTCACTAATGTCATAATATTATCGTTATCATGCGACACGTCTGTTTTATAATGCTTTTTATCCGGTTTAGAACAACCGCTAAATACAGATGTGATCATATAACGAAGCAAAAACTAGCTCGCGCATTTTATAAGGTTTTGCCTTTCGCTTAATTGATCGTCTACAAACTGCGTTCGTACATTAACCCAACACAAAAGCGTCGAAATAGCGCGAGAATAGTCAAGCAGGTGTGCTTTTTTAGCGATAACTTCGTTAGCTGTGATGCTTTAAGAAAACAATTCCTTATTTTAAAAATATTGTGAGTTTTATTTTTTAAATATTGAACATAAAATTGTAGTATATTTTCGCATGCGTACTTACACTCGCTGTACGACGATAATTTTAATTTAAAACAGCACTCGTGGCCTTGAGACTCGTTCGGCCAAACTGTCCGTTACCAGGGAACGTACACATTAATCTTTATAAAACCGTCGGGCCTGGCCCGCTTCATAGGTAAGATTGTTGCAGCTCTGATGGCAGTATTAATTATGGTATCACTTTGTATTCAAATTAGTACAATTTGTATTTCACGTCCGTACTATTTGTGCACATGTGCAATGATACGGTTCTCGACACGTTGCACAACGTTGCCTCGCGAATGTCATTCATGAGCGGAATACAACGGCTGCACAGTTATTTTAATATAACAAAGATTGATGCTATTTAAAATGTAATAGCACTGTATGTTGTTGGATTTTACGAGTGAAACTTGGTTCGTAGATAACTAAAAGCATCTCTCGTTATTTGTTTTGGTTGCAAGTGGATAATAATTTCTTACAAGATGTTGGCCATGCGCCTAACATCTTTAGCTCGCCGTTGTAGCTAAGCAATAAATCCTCAAATCTATTTTGGCATTTTAATAACAATTCAATTCATCATATCGTTAAGTTGCATAACCATTTTGTCAGAATTGTTTTTTAAAAGATATTTATTATATGCAAATATTTATTTTAGCTCTTTACAATAACAATTTCCAGCTTTCACATTTTATTGCGCTAGAAATTCAATAACACACCTTATATTAGTCGCTAAACATAAATAACCGTAAAGCTTGCTATCGGCCATTTCCATACACAGTTTTAGCTTAATCTTTATCTCGAAGTTAGATATAATTAATTCCTATTAAGGAGCTAGAACAGCATTCTTCGTTAGAATATTGCATACTAGCAAATTTAGCTTTCGGAATGACACCATTCTCTCGTATTATTGAAATAGACATTACAACTTCAAATTCCAATACATTGATAATATATAAATGGTTTTAACACGGTTCATAATTTATTTATGGAATTGTAATCAAAATATAGAATACATATAGTAATAAAAACTAACTTATCCTACAAATTTTATCTTAAGTGCAGATATTAGAACTATAAAAGCTCAATATAAAAAATAACTGTCAGTCGTAGGAATGCATGACAGAAGTGAATCTTCTTTCTTTTACAAACTTGTAAACATTAATTATTATAGTAATAAAATTTTTATTCATGGCGCTGTTTTACAGTAAAATAAATGAATTAATGAAATTTTTTTCATCAATTACCTATAATTATGTATCTTTTTCTCCGTGATAAAAGTGTCCTATGTGCCTATCGAGATTTTCACTTTAAAAATATTAAATTTTATTTACCCACTTCCACACCGCCGAGTCTTTAAATAACAAATTTATTAAGAACCGTTAAAATAGCTTTCAGTACTCTTATAGGGTCGGCAATGCAAGGTAAAAGAGTTTTTTCTTATACAGCCACTACATAGTACTATTATTTATTTTTTCTGTTCCAATTTAGGATAAAAATGTTTTACAGAATAATTGTTTATTTATACAACGCATTTCTTAAGTATCGATAGCGGTGTGCCTAAGTTCTAACGATATTACTAAACTAATGCCTGCCAATGAATGCGTCAGTCTTCGTAAGCAAAAATTACTAGGCTATCGAAACTAAACTCTTGCACTAATACGCCAGAGAAAGCTTACGTCAAACGCCTCTTAAAAAATCCTTTACAATCGTACTACAACCGAACAGTAGTTTGGTATAGTTTCTCAAAAAAAATTATATGTACTTATGTGCGTACGTACGTAGTAACGTAACAAAAGAAAATAACTAAAAACTTTATTCACTGTAGTAGTCTTTGTTTGTGAAAAAGACATTGAATGCAATTGATAAGGGTTTAATTAAACAACTTGGAATTACCTATAGGTGAATTTCAAAAAGTTGTTATTGGTTGCCATGGTAATACCGTGATCGCTTGCAGCCAACTTCCTCGTGTCGCTTTTTAACAGTCGCCGTGCGAACGCATCGTAAAATATTTTTCAAAAACTCAACAAGTTTTCCAAAAGCGGCAGGAGAAGTATAACTTCAGCAATGTATATTGTTATACGTGCATTGCAGATAATATGGAAAAGACTTAAACGTTCCGGCAATGTTGGCCATACGAGCGGTAATCAGAGTAGTTTGGCATGTGCGGCAACTGCGTGTTGTGCAGCGCTCAAAGCCGGCCACGGAAGCGTTTCGCGATCGCGTTTTCGCCTGCAAATGTTTCTCAGAAACGACGCTCTACTGGCGCTTCTTGAACGAACACTGACGCCCGTCGTTACCGGGAAGCTATCACGTCACAGAAAGCCTTGTGCAACTAAAAGAAATTTCTAACAAATGCACCGATGATTTTCTTAAAGCAATCAATCCCCGTAAGAGTCCAATAGCGAATTCGGTTACAGGTTGGTTTTCGTATGGTCGTAAACCGTAACGAAATTGTAAGCAAAGTAACTAAAGTATCAACCAGGTCTCACTGCGGGATTAAGGCGTCCTCTGTACAGAGGGCTAATGCCTTGTATCTTGTATCTTGTATTAACTGATGTTTTTGCTTTCAGTCCCGAGACTATTAAAGCTTCATCTGACGCAGAACCGGTGGGCCCAGAACCCACGGGTTTGGGCCCTCCGCTGTGGGTAGGGCCGCGCATGTGCTCATGCGTGCGTTTAACTACGACATGTCATCTAAGGGCCATCGAAGTTGCGGTGCGGACCGAGACCCCGATGGCAGTCGACTGCGTTTTTAGCTAATCGGTGGCTGGGGGCGGTGAGAACCGCCCTGGAACGCGGGTGTACCTTGTGTACGCGTTGTGTTGGTCTCGCCGTGCTCGGAGGCGAGGGCGAACTATTGTGTTTGTTGTTACACTAGCTGTGGGTGTAGTGTTATCCGGCGGGACCCCCGGCGGTGGGTCCGGCGTATCTAAGTCCCCTTCTTCGACCGGGTCGATTAGGACGTTTCGCGGGCGACGCTTGTTGACGTTCGCGTTTGCGTCGGGTTGGTAATTTGCTGCGCTTACCACCAGAGGGTTGGGATGATGTTCAGCTTATCGAAGAACCGTTTGGTCAGGTCTTTAAAATATTCGCGAATCGTCGGGAGTCTGCAATCGCTGTGCAGATCGACGTTGCGTTGATACCACTGCGCACCGGTTGCACGGCGGATGAACTTATTTTGTACTATTTGCAGCTTGTACAAGCGAGTAGGGTGCGTGTGGGCGAAGATCATGCATGCGTAGGACATAATAGGTCGTACGCAGGTCTTATATAATAATAATTTGTGCCTTAAGGGCATTTTACTTTTAGCGTTAGTTAAATTGTGTAGCCG